TTTTTTTTTTTTCAATACGAGTCATTATCCCCAACTCAGATACCTAACCTTCTGGAGAGAATCATAAAATCATCATTCCTATTTCCTTGTATTTCCTAAACAATATCTATAGTAGAACATTTCACTTTTTAAAAGAACATGGACACCTCTATATTTCTTATATTATGAAATCAAAACTTCATTTATACATAACAGATGGAGGAAATGTTAATAAACAATTTTACAATATTTCCTTCCAGCTTCCAGTAGAGATCTAAAATGAGATTGAATTTATTATGAGGATAATAAAATAGAAATTTAAGGACAAAATGGAATGATGGTACATGTAAAGCACTCACCTTTATGGACAAACCAATTGATATTGCATCTTTCTCCTTTTCCATTGATTTTCCACCAGTCATGCCAGTGGGTGGGTGGGTCACCTCAGCAAGTAAAGAGGAGTAAACTTTGAGCAACCCAAAACATGAATAATTACAACAAGCAGCAGGCATGAATTTATGTATACTGCGGGGAGAGGTAGCTGGCATTTGCATTTTGAGATGAATGAATCATGAGTTAGCCTGATTATTTTGATTTCCAATGGTTTTACGCTCAAATTCCTTGATGGTGTTAGCCAGCTTCTTCATGTTATCATCATAGACATAAGGTAGCTTATCGTACCATATTACATTGTTCCTGGCTGATAAGGGGAGGAATTTCCGGCAGAGCTCTTGGTGTACCGTTATAGAATTGTGATAGTGATAATACCGAATCTTTGTTTCTGTCTTGTGCAAGGTCTTCCCAATCACATTCTCAGACATATGAACCCCTGTAGCGTGTGCATTCTTGGCCTGTATTGCATATTTCCTGTCCCGCCTAATTCCAGTTCTTGATTCCCTGAATAGAAGCTTCTCGAATCCCCATTCCCTGAATTGTGAAAGAGAATATTTAGTAAGTAACCAAATTGGCATGTGCATTGCATTGCATTCCAATGTTTTGCTAACTAGCTTGATTAAGCATATCCCAAAAGAGTAATTAACCAAATCGACCTCTGTTATTTGCTAGACTAGAAGCTCAAACAACCTTAATCTACATATGAACACATCTACATCTAAAAATTTCTGTTGGAAAGAATCTATTTCCAGTTTCAGTTTTAGTACTCTTGAGCTAACTAATTAGAGAATTGAAGCATAAACATATAAATAAGTAAATGAATATTAGGATCTCAGCTCAGGGAAGGAATTAGCTAGGAACATACATACCTGGAATAGTTTTGTGAGGAATCATTCAAGCAGAGTAGACTGGACATTGGATTCTGCTCAATAGTGAACTGAGTATAATCGGAGAATTCGTTTAGAACCGATTCCAGAGTATTTCCCACAGGCAAATAGATATATTCATCCACATCAAAGTAAAATGTCCAATTGGCAGCATGTTTATACCGATGCAGACAGTCATTCACAACCAAAAACTGATTGTAGTAATACCCATCAAACTCAGACTGCGCCTTGATATCCTGCACCGTCACCCTCCCTGCTCGCACCCACGGCTTCAGCACCGCCCTCACCTTTGCCGTCACCCCACCGGCGTCATGTAACACGAAATGCGATCTGGGTCCGAAGAACCAGGCGTGATAAGCCATCCATTCTCTCATCCTGTCCGCACTCAGGTTCCCGTACAGAGACGACCCACAATACAAATACTCGTATTGAAAAGGTGGGTGGTACTTGGACTCGTTATATGATCCAGGCACCTCCTCCAGAGCCATGAATTTCTCGTACTTCCTCGGAGACTCGCCGTAATAGGCGTTGACCATGAGCCTGCCACCCACGTTTTCCTGGTTGGGGTTGAAAGGGAAAGTGCAATTGACTACCACGACGGTGTAGACGCGACCGTACCCCCAATCCGGAAGCATTTTATAGGCTTTAGCCCTGTAAGAAGATCCGTTGTTGGAGATCCACTCGCATTTAAACCAGGGGCGGCCGAAGACGTGTATCGGCTTGGAAGCGAGGCCCACCACCGCAAAGGTTCTGGCTCCGCCCCTGTAGGCGCCCATCTGTACAAACAGAGCGGCGGAATTGCCGTAGGCTTGGAATGTCCGCTTGTTTGAATCGGTGGGCTTTCGAGTAAAGTACTTCTTTTCAGTAACTGGGGAGGCTGATACATTGGTAACAAGTAGAGAGACGTTGGTGGTTGTTGATGTGGCGCTGGAAGTGACTGAGGGGGCGGAGCAGGGGCGAGTGGTTGAGAGGAGGTTTTGGTAGTAGGGAGGAAGGTTCCAGATGAGCATAACAAGAGCGAGAGCTAATAATGTAGCAACCAGAGATTTAGTTTCGAAGCAGACAAAAAGCTTAGCGACGGTGGCGGATGAGGAGGAGAGGAGAGAGGTGGGTGGCGGTTCTTTCCTCATCCGTGGCGGTCGTCGGTGGTCAGTGAATAGGGTGATTAATAGACGGTTTGCAAGTGTCAAATGCCGACTCAGCCCAATCCTGGTCCTCCTCTGTTATTTCCAGGCATTATTGTAGTAGATATTAATAATATAAGGAAAAGGTATTTAGTTCCACGTAAAATGTTTTAATTTTTGTGTTATTAAATAATTAATTTTTTATATAAAAAAATAATATAATAAATATTATATAATTTAAATCATATTAAATTAATTATTAAATAAATGTAATTGTTCGTTTCAAACTTTAAGTCATTTATTTTCATTATTGATTTGAAAACAAAATCTTTCATTTTTTAAATTTATTCATGTTTAAATAAATAAATAAATATATGATATTAAAATTATAAAATAAATTTATTATAACATAGTATATGAGCAAACGAAAGGTAGACAATTGGTTTCTCAATTTTTTTTTTTTTTTTTTTTTTTTTTTTTTTTTTTGTAAAAAGTAATTTCTCATGTGGAGGTAATTTGAAAACCTCCCATTTCCATTACCTTTCTTTCTCCGCTTTCTCTCCTTCCTCTCTTCCTTTTCTGCAAGATTGCAAATACTAACAGGATCAAACCTCCAAATTCGCCCTCCAAGTATGAGATGAAGAAAAATTCATCCTCAAACTAGATGTAGGAATAAATCACCTCATTAATTAATTAGGTTAGACAAATAACTTCAAATTTAATTGCTATCATCATATGACATTCATTTTCCATTACTTTCTTATTTATATGGCCTTTTTA